TCTTGCATTCAAGCTCTTGAAGAAAATGTTGCACTTGAAAAAAAAGAATGTTGGGTACCAAATAAGAGAAATTTATGTCGTAACTATTTAAAAAAGTGTCAATATTTTAAAAACCAATATACTCAAGAAGAGCAAAAAGTAATTCTTAGTTTAGAGGTTGCAAAAGATCATAAATCAATTCAACAAAATTTTGTTAATGATAAGTAAAAATATTGATATTAATATATGTAAATTTAATTAAATTAATTATTTTAAATATATGTTTAAATATTAGAAGATGAAAGCAACGATAAAAGCTCTTTACCTTTAATTCATTTATTTACATCCTATCCATCTACATCTAGTTTATCTATATCTTATACACCCGTATCTGATTTATCTATATCTCATTCATTTACCTCTGGTTTATCTACATCTCATTTATCTACAAAAACTACTAAGCAATCATTTTTAGTTGGATTTGTTCAATGGCTATTATCCAAAAATGATATTCCAACTTTTGAAAATTTAATACTACACATGGTTGTATCTTAACTTAGCATTTAATTTTACAGAAAATCCTGAAACACAGAATGTTTTTAAATTTTTAGCACCAACTATTAGATTACCAAGTCACCGATCTCTTAGTAATCATATTTTAACTAAAGCTAGTAATGAGCTAAATAGTGTAATATTTAGTAAAGTGCAAGAAGATTCTGTTGGTGTTACAGCTATATTCGATGGTTGGACAAATATAAGGTGAAAACATCTTTTTGGAATAGTATTAATTACATCAGATGGTGATGATGCTCTTATTTGGAAAGCACTTGATATTAGTTCTGAACATTCAAAAACTGAAAATGCTATTGCACATATAAAGAAAATTATGAATGACACTAAAAATAATAATATTAGGATTAATTGTTTTGTCTCAGACTCAGCCAGAGAATATGCTACAGCAAGGTATTTAGCTTTTATATCTAAATTTTAATAAAATAATTATATCTAAAAATTAAAATTAATAATTTTTAATTTAAATATAGGCATGAATTACATAGAGAATATACAAATAAAATATTTTTCCCTTGTATGGCCCATCAAATAAATTTAGTTGTAGACAATATTTTTAAAGAATCAGATATATTTTTAAATACCTCTAAAAAATCTATTCGTATTGTCAGTTATTTTCATTCTTCAATACAATTCAGTGCACATCTATGTACTTTATGAAAAAAAATAAGCTTACTTCACCCAGATAATACTCGGTGGAATAGCTATTATTTTTGTTTTCATAGTATTTTAGAAACTGAAGAGGCACTAAAGGTTAATTAATTATAAAACTTATATATACTATATAATATTATATACATAATATAAATACTTAATAGACTTTATTAATTTATAACAGGCTTTGGCTACCAAATTTGCCCCATCACGTCTTGGAGAAAATTATCGCCGTTCACATAAAATTTCTTTACCAAATGATTTACTTAATATTATTAATAATCAAACCTTTTGGACTAGGCTATATGAGCTTTAAAATTTAATTTTCCTGATTTGTGGCATGTTAAACAAATTGCAAAAGGATATTGCACATCTTCATGAAGTTGTGCATTGTTTTGCATATTTAATTAAAATGTTTAATGATCATACTGATTTTGATTTTAGTTTAGCTATGGTAGACTGTTTAGAAGCTCGTTGGTTTCAATAGAAGTAACCATTACTTCTTTTTTCTTTTGTACTTCACCCAAATTATATGCTATCTAAATTCAATATATCTGTAGAACGTATTACCTGGACTGATTGGGCTTTATAGATTAATTATTACTATGAAGCTTGGTTTGAAACACGCCGCAATCTATTTTGCCTGAGCTTAAATTATATAAAAACAAAAAACACCATTTGATTCATCATTTTGGCACCAGTTTAAAGGCAATATTATAGAGTTTTGGAATTTAGTTTCTGGTAAAACTCCCAAATTATTACAATTTTCTGTTCATTTATTTTCAATTTGTGTTAATTCAGCCTCTGTAGAAAGATTATGGTCTGCAATAGGAAATTTGCACACAAAACAAAGAGCTAATTTAAATGTAAATATAAATTCATATATTAATACTACTTCCTATTATATTTAGAATAATACAATATTAACAATGGCTCAATTATACAGTGATATTTTAAGAAAACACAAAATTAAACAATCAGAATTTCATCAAAGTAAGGCTAAAAAAAACATATTGCAGAACTAATTAATCAATAAGCTCTTCAGACCAAGACACTGATACAGAAAACACACAAATTACTAAAGAGACAAATAATTTAGAACAAGGATTAGATAATTCTAACAATATAATCGAAAATGAAGCACAATAGGAAAATCTTGTAACAAATTGGATTGAATTATCTAATCAAGAAAATAGCTTTGATAATAATCATTCTGATTTGAATTTTTCTTTTGGTGGGCGCAATATTCATCCTGCTGATAACGAAGAAGCAAAATAGTCACTTTTAGAACTTTTTAATAGTTCTAAGAAGCGCTAACAATGCTAAATGAACTAGTGAAATAAATTGTCAGGGTTTTTTATATAGATATTATTATAATATACTTACTGGGAATGAAGTGATATAAAATCACAAAGTGTATAGCTTATATAATATACATATGTACGTACGTACATATATAGCATACATATATATAAATGATTAGATAGCGTGCTAAATGCAATAAAGATATGAAATTTTGCCCTTAAAGTTGTAATATGATAATTGTTTAACTATGCAAATATATTAACTCGAATTTTATTGCTTTTAATAAGTTTTCAGGTTTTTACTTTATCGATATACAACAAATTATTTAAAAAAATATTATTAGAATTGCACTAACTAAATATAGAAGTTGTTATTTAATACAACCAGAATCATACACATGTGATCTAAATACAAAATAATTGTTTTTTTATTTCGTTATTATCTTCTCGGTCCATTTCATCTAACCAACGAGTGATTATTTCAATAATTTCTGCTGCAGTAGGTTGTTCATCAATTTCTTTATCCATACATTTCATAACTAATCATTCAGGTCTTAATCCACCAATAATTTTTGATACAAGGTCCATTAAATGCTCTGTCCAGTCAAAATCTCCGTCACGATAACTCCAAGACTGTAAATGTCTGATGCTTGAGTATATGGTGCAATGTACTGCAGAATTCCACAGTTTTTTCCTTCTTTTACTTTTTTAGAAAGTCCGAGATCAGTAATATATATATATCGCAGATTATCTCCTTGCAAAATGTTTCCACTGTGTAAATCTCTGTGAATGAGTTTCTGCGAATGTGTCAACTCATAGACTAGCTGTTAACAAGGAGTTTTGCAGTCAAATTTATTAATGCTTAAGATTAGCTGATAGTTATGACCGGGGTAAAATCGCCACCCAAAAAAAGTTTCGAAAATCATGATTAAGATCATAATAATAATAATTAATAAAGTATTAATTGATTCAGAAAAGATTTTTTTTTCGATTCTTCAAAATGTAAAATGATCGTTGAAATTTTTTAAAATCATAAAATTAAATAACACAATATAAACACATTGTTAATTGTAACTAAATTTCCACTAATGATAAACGAAAAAAGAAATAAAGTTAAAAAAACTTATTAGGCAAAATGCAATTACACCAGAAAGTCTTATAGATTTTATTTTGAATACTCTTCCAGAAGACTATAACTGATAAATTATTGAAGAAAACATGATTAATCCAACTAGCAACAAATAGATCGATAATAAAAATTTTGAGCTATTGCATAAATTGAAAGAGGATTTAATTATTTTAAATAGCAATGGAATATTCCAGATACTAGAAAAATAATACTTTATGACTTTAATAAATACAGTATTATGTTTATTGAGTTTATTTGAAATTTTGTTAAATGACTTTTTTGGTGCTCAACATATTTATCACATGATGATCGAAAATTTTTTGGTGGCGATTTTACCCTGGTAGATAGTTTCCCACCTGCATAACGCAGGCCAGCTGTAAATATAAAGAG